GATGATTTAAGAAAAAGTATTTGTAGTAGTTGTAATAATAAACTAAATGGTAGGATAGATGAGTCAGTGGTTCTTTTGCATTGTATTAAAGATAAGGTTTGGGTAAAGGTAGCTGTACAGAGATTGGTGTTTTCAAGTGGAAAACAGTCCTCTGTGCATCCCTCTGCAACTACATTTTGGAGGGAAGGAATTGCGTTTTTTCAGGAGTCAGTGTAGTTTTCTTTGTGGTGCACTTCCAGGTTACACTTGCTTTATCAAAAATCTGATTAAGAATCTCTGTTTTCTTTCCACTTCTATGTTTAATTTCCGTATCCTTTCATACTTTTAATGGCACTTGAATTTCTTTTGATACGTATGTTTAAATTAATACCAAAACAATAGCCCCATTTTTTTCCTTAATGCCATGATAGCAGATCCTTGGAACAAAAGTAGGTAATTTGTACCCTGACTGTATTTCCAACATACATAATGCGGCAGCAAAGCCGTTTAGATTTAATGAAACTTTGGAGAGATCTTTCAGCCTTTGTGTTAGAGACAGCACACATGTATTCTGGACTTGACAAGCCTCAACTGCAGGGCATGTTTAGCAGCTGCTAATAAACATATGGCAAAGTGCCACTGTTCAAGTGCAGAAAGGAAATTGTAGGTGTTAAGGCAGTAAAGCAGTGGAAGTTTCTATAGGTCTGTTGGATATTACACTCGTGAAGAAATGAGTGATGATTTCAGTTTATTTTTGGGATACATTTAATTTGGAATGCCAAAATACATCACAAGTGGTTGCAGCTGCTGTAATTCAAGGGTATTGAGCTGTCAGCTGATACTTTTCTCTAAGACCAAATTCTTGGCTTTTTTTCTATTCCAATTTTTAAAATAATCTGTCTCCATATTAAAGCTTAAGGAAATCTATCATCAACTTGAATTACCTTTGTTTTTTAATAAATGGACTGTTGTATTGCAAAAATTTTAAGAAATGGATGCTTACTGGGAAACCACTGCAAAATATTTTAATTCTTTGATGAATTTAGGTCCATAAAATGCAGACTTATTGGCTGCTGGGGGTTCCTACTCTCAAACCAGCTTCTTAAAACAATTCTCTGGACATCATTTGAAACTAAGCTTTGGAAATACTGCCAGAAAAGCTTTCTCCAGCCTAACAGGCATGTTGGTTTAAAGCAGAAGTCCTCCAAAAGGAGGAAGGCCTTTGATGTGTTATTTTTTCCATGTGAACTGTAATTATTTGCTTTATGTGAGCAGTGATGAATGTAAGTCGTGCTTCAGATGTAAGTTACATTACAGTGTTCTAAGTTAACTTCTTAACTTACTCTTAGCAGAGCAAAATGTTGAGGAGGAAGTCAGAGTAAGTACTATTATTTACTGTATTTTCATGTAGTGTTCTTACCTCATCTTGAACTCCTCAATTTGATATTAATGGAACAATTTTAAATTGCTGAGTTTTCTGTGAGAGATGCTATGGCTTGTACAATGGCAGCGGGGCATCATTTTGAGATCCTTTTCCTCTGTAGCTGCATGTGGTTAAGGAGCTACTAATAGCTTATTTTCTTGGAATATCCATTTGTCAGGGCAAGAATTAATTTGGGGGCATAGGGAACCTGCTGTACAGTAAGATGTGGTAGTGGGGATGGGATTACAAAAATGTGGCATAATTACTTTTCATATACATACAACTGAGAAAGAATCTGTGGTTAGATTGGTTTGGGTATTTTTTTTCTTCTTCCTGCCCTTGCTGTTCTTTTCCGAGGGACAGAATATGCTGATGGAACAGGAGGAGAAAGAAAAACAGGTTTCTTATAGCAGTTTTTGATCATCTGTTTCTGCTCCTATTAGCTTTTAGGCAAGTTTAATTATTGAATTATACATATAAAATAGTAATACATCTTTGTGTGTATTCAGGAGATCTCAGCTATTCAAAACTGAGCATAATATTAGTTTCCTTGAGTCTCTGTTCTATTAGACTGCTTCTCAATCTCACCCACTGAAAGAACTTTTTGAGTTAGAATGCAGTAAATTCCATAAATTGAAATGAAATTGTGCTGATTCTTATCTTAAATTTCTTACTAGTTTTTATTAAAAGGATAAGGTGGTTTGACGTTGAGATAGGTGATGGGAATACATGGTCTGTATTCTGAAAATATAATTGACATCTGAGCAAATCCCATTACTTTGTGGTTCTCATCAGAAAAACAGAACAGAGGATGTACTGTGTCAATAACAGAAGTTTGCAAATATACTGTGTTCCTGTAATTATTTTCTGCACCTTGCTTCCTGTTGAACTGTATAGTATTTTTTCCTGTGCAAATGTTTAAAACACTCTAAGTGATATAATTTGGTTTTTTTTCATTTTCCTCATAGCAAATGTCAGTTCTACTTGTCACACTTGGTGTACATATGTTTGGTAACTGTTCGGATGTCAGGACTCTATTTCATTTGAGTTGTGGCATTAGGGTTAGCTGCTTCCGTACCAGCAGTTAAACAGTTGTTTCTAATACTGCAGTTAGTTTTAAAAATGTTTCAGTAAACCTGTGAGACTGATCTCTTCCCCCAACACATACCCCTATAGCTTGGGCATCAGTTATGTAATATCTTTTTTTTTTTTTCCCTTCAACCTTCTGGTCTGCTCATAAGTTAAGATTTCAGTCTTGCGTTTCTGTATTGCATTTGTGATCTGCATCTTCTTTATCATACTGGCTTATCCTTTTCTCAGGAAACAAAAAAAAACACATTGTAAAAATCAATTTTTTTTTTTCACCCCAGCTTGACTGGGTATGTATACTTGCTCAGTTAAAATGTACTCTATCTCCATTCTTTAATCAGACGCTTGTCAAAATTGAAGAACTGCTGCAGATTGTTGTGAGGTGGTTTTTTTTGGTTTTGGGGTTTTTTTTGTGTGTGTGTGTGTGTGTTTTTTTTTTTTTTAATTTATGTGGTATTTAACGTGTTCTCAGAGAATGAAATTGGCAGCTATCATAGCATCTACCTAACACTTACTGTGTGAGGTGCAAGTCACTGATGATTGATGAGAGTGACAACACTTCAGGGTACCATAATTTTCATCTTAATCTGATCCAACGTCAGTGTAATTGGTGTTTTGAAACTATGCAGTGCTCCATTGCTGGATTGACAGGAAGCTAGTCCAGATCTGAAATCTGCTGAGAACTAAGAGTGACAGACTTGGCTGTCATATGTTTGAGGCATACTCTGTTTCAGAGCTCTGATCTGAAGGAGTGCTTGGGGTTTATCAGAAAAAAACTGAGCTGACGCTGCATAAGGAACGGTTGCTTGTTTTTACATAGAAGCCTAATTGCTTTTATTCCTACCTCTTCACTGAACTGTTTGTCTGAGAAGGGTAGAGATTCAGAAGCAACTTGAATGTGATAGCAAACTGAAATGATTTCTCAGGAGATGCTGAAATGGCAGTTTCTGTTTTGGTTATACTGGGCATTATTGACTGCTTATAGATGTAAACAGCATTTTAGATGTAGTTACAGCCTCAGTTGTCATTCCAGTGATCCACACTGGGATTATGATTTGTGGTGATTTAATCTACTAATTCCTGTGTGGTAGAAAACTACTTTTTTAGTATATATACCTGGTTTCTGCTGTAGTCCCAAATTAAGGGTAGTGCTTTTCTGCACCATATATTTTAGCCCCGGTATAGATTATGGGGTCATGACAGTGTTAACATTTACCTTCTTAATGCTGATTTTGACCTATAATGTTGAGGCTGTTGAGCTTTAACAGTACCTCTAGCTCCCAAATCAGTGAGATGTTTTATTAAATGTGGGGAGAAAATAGTGTTGTAGCTTGCAAAATCTGATCTTCTCTCATCCTAAACCATATTGGAGCCATCCACTTTTGAACTCTCCTTATTTGTTAGGGAAGAAGAGAAATATTGGAGATCCAGTATAAAATAGACTCTGCTGTAGTCTCTGCTCTTGATGGCAGCATATGTCAACCCATATAAGTATGGTCTCAAGTATGCCAGTCTGTGTTGTTTTCTGCTTTCCCCTAGCTGCTCTGAAGCATCATTTTCTAAATGCTCTAAAATCCGGTTCAGATCTCTTGATGCTTACCAGCCTCTCACCGTCTGAACTAATTTTTAAAATGACTTATTTCTGGCTGATAATGTCAGCTTTTAGCAACATTTTGAAGCTGTGTTTGAGATCACGTCTTAAAAAGGCTGCATCTGTAAAATATGTACCAGTTAAAGGTGTTGCCACTGGAAAGTTTCAGTGAAGTTTGATTCAAGAAAGTCTTACTTAAGTAATTTAATTGAAGCTTAAGTATTTCTTTTGGTCGTCTGCAGTATTGTCTACTTGCCATCTGATACTGTTTCTGTTTAATCCTAAACCTGCCCCAGTTAGAAAGTAGAAGGTAAATGTTTAATTTGTAGAACTGCATAAGAAATGGATCTGCTATTATATCTACTCTGGCAACATGTTTTCTTTAAAACATTCAAGACAGTTTGGGAGATACAGCTCTAAGCCTTAGGTATTCTTATCTCAGCATGAGAAAACATTTAGTCAGTTATCAGGATTCTGCTTATTTGTTGAAGTGGAGATTTCTAGGGAAGAATAAGTGTTTGGATATGTAAGAATCATCTAGTTAAATCTTCAGAAAGAGAGGCTCCTGAGTCTTTTATATACGTGGGTTAAGAATAACAAGTACCTCACACTCAACTAAATCTTTCCTTACTTTTGGCTGAAATTTCACTTCCTTTGCCCTCAAGGAAAATCTGCTAGTTCATTTTGTTTCAGATTTGGGGGTGGAAGGTGCAGAACGAGATCATGACTCTTAGTTTTCAAAAATAGCTTGTTAATTACACATTCCTGTCTGCCTTTGTGACCAAGAACATAAATAACAAAAAATTGTTTGATTAAAATTATCTTCTTAAGATTATTTTCATATCCTTATTGTAGTGTTGGAGGATTAAGAAGAGCATTCACCAAGCACTAATTATGTTTGTGGTCTTTTAATTGCAGGAGGCGGAGTTACCATCAGAACTGAACAATGAAGGATACTGTGATTTTAACAGTAGGCCAAACGAGAACTCTTACTGCTATCAGCTCCTGCAAGAGCTCAACGAGCAGAGGAAGAAAGGCATTCTTTGTGATGTTAATATTGTGGTGAGTGGGAGGGTCTTCAGAGCTCACAAGAACATCCTGGTTGCAGGCAGCCGCTTCTTTAAGACTCTGTATTGCTTTACAAACAAAGAAAGCCGGAACCAAACCACTGTTACCTATTTAGACGTTGTTGCTGTTCAAGGTTTTTCTGTCATCTTGGACTTCTTATATTCTGGTAACCTCGTGCTTACGAGCCAAAATGCCATTGAAGTGATGTCGGTGGCCAGCTACCTTCAGATGACGGAGGTTGTCCAGTCCTGCCGCAACTTCATTAAAGATGCCTTAAACATAAGTATAAAATCAGAAGCTCCAGAGACCGTTGTAGTGGATTACAACAGAAGATCTGTTAGTAGGGATGGTTTGTCTCCAAGGGATCAGAAAGTTGCCAGCTTCTGGGCAACACGAAACCTTACCAACTTGGCAAGTAGCATAAAAACTGAGAACGATCCCTACCCAATTGATGAGGGCCAAATGGAAAGCTACCAAATGAATGACTGCAGTTGGGTCCAGGACAGCTCACCTGAAATGGCTGAAAACGAATCTCAAGGTGAGGGAAAAGTTTTTGTGTGGAATGACATGGGTGCACAGGGACAATCAGTTCAAGAACCTGGAAAAGCAAGAAGGAAAAACCAAACTGCAAAGAGATTTATTTATAATATACCACCTAATACTGAAGAGAACTCAGAAGATTGCTCAGCGTTGCAACCGTCAGTCCCATATCCAGAAGAAGATCTGTCATTTATTAAAGAAGAAGCAGGTAAATGTTGCTTAATGTGATCGTGTTATTTGAAAACTAAAGTATTGAATGAAGTATTGAATGAAGTACCTGACAGTGTAACTCTTATAAAGGTATGTTGGATAGGATTAGTGAGGTCAGCACAGCAATCACGTTACTGAATCATTAATCTGATCCTCTGCCTTGGGGCACAGCAGTGATTTTCTGCTGGAGACAGTAATGGCAGCGCTGTGCAGGATGGAATGTGCTGTTTGCATTTGGTACTTGAATTGGGGATACTTATCAGCTGCTACAAACTAAAATTCTTACATTCACATTTAATCTGTGGTGACTATTAGGCACAAAACCAAGGAGTAATAACTGTTGGCTAATGAATATTAACTGGTTGCACAGAGAGCAGGGACCTTTATAATTTCCTTCCCTACGCTAGAAAAAGATTTTTCTAGTAATCTCCTTCACCTGAGCGTCACTCAGAAAGTGAAGTCAGCATTCTACTGATTTTTATTATAGGGGTGTCTGGGAACCTGCAAGACAGAGTAATCCTGGCTACTATAATAGAAACACTTAAAGCAAGTTTGTGAAACGTTGGACAGAGATGCCACAATGACATATATTAGACGGGAATATATTTTTGTTAAACAATGCTTTAAACAAATCCTGAGAGTGACTGAGTTAATAGGATTTTTTTCCTTAAGGATCTATGATTAATGTAAATGGTAGAGTAGGGTTAAATATCTGTTTGTTTAACAAATAAGGTCACACAAAGAATTATATGCAGCAGACTGCTCATGGTGTAATTGGGATCTGGGGCAGTGTAATTACGTCCAGGGCTTTGTTTTTTAAATTATTATTATGCTGTATGAATAGTTGAAGTATGTATTTGAAATACTGTCATTTACCTTTACTGTAATTTGCATCACTTTCTGATGAATTAGCAGTTTTGAAAACGTATTGCAGTTTAGGAGTCAGATTAAAGATAGATTTGAGAAATATCTGGAATTAAATGCTTTAGATGTGTCTGTTTCTAAAGCAGGTTAAAATATATGCCTGCTTGAACCATGAAGGTGGTGTAGATGTCCTCTGTCTCCTCCAGGAGCTCTGCCCCTGCCTATGGGGCTGGAGGCCATAGAGAAGCAGGGGTGCCGCAGTGGGCACGTGGTGACCCCACTGTGCCGTGCAGTGCCAGCTGGTCCCAGTCTGCAGTGCTGTGCACTATGGATGTGTACCTCCAGTACAAGATACCTCCCTGTAGTTAGCAAGTAGTGTGACACAACAGAGCAGCTCCGGAGAAGCAGCTGTGCTGAGGAGCTAACATTGTTCTGCAAATGCTTCAGGGTGTTTGCCTATCTCAAGCCTTCATCTCTCAACTCTGGGTAGATCTGCTTTAGCTATTCTTGGGAGCCTGCACTTGTAAAGTGAATTTCCTGATCTTCTCTTACTGTCTAAGCTTTCCTAGACTGTACAGGATTTTTCAGGCTGAAATCACAATAGAAGCTATGTTTCAAAAACATAACAATTGCTAACAGACCTTAGATCCACAGCACAGGGTTAGATCTAGCCTTAAGTAAAGCACCTTTAGACTCAGATAGTGTGGATGTTGAGTCCTCAGCACCCACACAACAAATCTGCTTGTGCTAGGCTACACTACTCGATATAGTTGCAGTGGCATGAAAAAGGGTCTGGAGCAGGAACTGAGGACCTGTATATAAATTGCACAAACATCAAATTTCTGACACAATTTAGCATGTGATTTCTGTTTGATTTCTGTGGGGTGGTTATTCAACCTCTTTTACCAATTGAAATACAGAGAATATGTCTACTAAGTGATGTCAGTAGCAACAGAAAGAAATACTTGGTTGCCTTCTGTGGAATTCGTATGTGTTCTGTGGAGCTTTCTTGAAGAAATAATGGAGGACATGGGCAGTCAGTAGTGATTATACAAGTTTAGTTCTGTTTTATTTTTTGTGGATTTTTTTTTGACAGAAGCACCAAGGTTTTCAGTAGCTTGTTATGCTAAAGAATTAAATTACGAAATACATCCATGTAGCATCTTGGTGAAGAGAACTGTATTGGAGACTAGGGACATAGTGAATGTGTGCTGTGGTGTCTGTCTAAAACCATTTCAAGTTCTGTGACTGAAGGGGGAAGTTTATTTTATTGAGCTGTAAAATACCATCAACTAACAATTTCCTTGATATTTTCAGAGCATATGTGTTCCCAAGTACATAATTACATTTTCTGTCAGTATTAGAACTCTTGGAAGCCCTATCTAATATTTTTGCAATTATGCCTTTTATGAAGTTCTTCTCTGCATGCACATTGTGTGAAGCAAGGAGTGACTGGAAGTAGGGCTTGGTATAATAGCTCACTTTCACCCATACTCTGTGCTTCAGCCACTGGTGTTCTTTCTCCTCTGCTGCTGCCTCTTTCTCTTTGCTCTGCAAGCAGATTCCACCCTCAAACATTCTTCTTTGAACTGCTGCCTCTATGCCCAAGAAAAGGTGGAAGAGGGAGGAGTGGAGCGTTGGAGGAATGTCAAGAATGAGTTGTAGAGTAACCTGCAGGTTATACGATAACTTTTTAGTTTTGGATTAAATTTCTTGTGGAGATGAGAAGCTTACCAAAAATAATATAGGCACTGGGAGGTAAAAATGCAGAAGAAAATATCATCTGGAATTGATACAAGAAAATGCTGTGAGAAGAAAAATAAAGAATAGCAAATTCTTATGATGAGAGCTAAAAAGTGCACTGTCTCTTTGTTTGCTGAAAGGGAAAGAATGAGCTTGTACTATTATGCTTTGTCATGTTCTGATGGGAATAACCAACACCAGCTGAGGTTGTGAGCTGTCAGTTACATGCAAAGTGAGTTCCTGTGTCCTTGATTATGGTTTTGGTTGGTCTGGTTCTTTTGTGAGGGGGGGAAAAATACTGTAGATATGGTGGAAACCTATTTAAGAACGCTCCTCTCACTAAAAAAATTATCCCAAAAACCACTTCGTTGATTTCTGTAGTAAATGGACTTCCCAGTTGGGTACAGCTAGATAAGTATTAAGTAATAAACAATTAAAGCTTTCTGAACTATCTGCTACTCCTCTTGTCCCAGTGATGCAAACATGTTAAACTGCTCCTTGCTGAATGTGAGTTTTCCTACAGGTATCTGTAAGGATATGTCAGCTTCTTCCTTCTACCCTGTGTTGCCAGTGAGTTTATATTTAACACTTTCTCTGTAAAAGTAGCACTTTGATGAACTTCAAAAAAGCTCCATAAAGTTGAAATAGATTTGAAATTGCATGTACCATCTTATATTTACTTATTTTTGCTTAAGCTTTCAAAACTTCTCCAGTTTTAGCTATATTAATTCAAGTAGCTGTTTAACTAAAATATTGAATGTTACTGCCTATGTCCATGTTTTCCCTTCTAGTTGGTAATCTGCTAAAAAAGTCTTTACTGTTTATAGCAATTGTGCATCCTACAATTAACTGTTTATCATGGTAAAAGTAACTGTGCAGTCAGTCAGCATCTCATAGTCAGTTTCCAGTTCATAAAAGCTCAGTGAATATAATTCATCATATTCTTAATGTTGGTTCTTAGGGTTTTTTTGGTCAATTTTCATCACTTCTTGGATATATTTTTTGTCTAGGCCTGTTTTGGAGTATATGTGTCCTCTCCTCAGGCTTCAGAACAGCTGTGGAGTATTGCTCATGCTTTCCAGAGCTGATTGTGTTGATTTTTTAGGAGACTTATATGCAATATTGCAATAGCTTTATGAAACTACAACTGGATTATGTGTTACCTTGATTTTCAGGCCAGTTACTGCTGTGTCATGTATTGTGGTGGAGGCAAGGCAAAGGATAACAAGTGCAAGATGAATGCAGCCCTTTGGTGGAACAAGAGGGTTTGTGAATGATTTTGTATGGGTTCTTAAGGAATTTAATTCAGCTTGCTGTAGAAGCAACTGCTTTTCAGAAGGATGCAAATAGCCAGCTAAACCTGCTTACAAAAAACATAGGGATGGTCACAGCTGTTGTTATGATGCAAGGGAGGAGCATAACAACTTGATTAGGACTTTACACTATAGACAGGTAACTTTGAAGAAATCAAGATTGATGGACTTATCTGGAAATGCATGTATTTCTTATAGGGATAAACCTGACTTGATTGAGTTACAAAGGAAAAAAAATAGCCTAAGAAAACTAAGTGCTTTTTCTGCTTCTCCATGGTAGTATCACTCTCAGCCAGATTTTCCTCAGATCTCCAGCTGATACCCTATTGAAAGATTTTAAGTTCCTCGATGGACCTTTAACCTCTTTTTTGCTCTGTTCCCCTATGTAATCTGGTATTGAAGGCCTTGTAGGTTGTTAGAAGTCTTCTAAAGAGAGCACAACATCTGAGCGTCAGTCTCTTCCCCGTTCATTAAATTTACTTCTCCTAGGGATGATCCCAAAGACAAGCAGATTCCCACATTTTCATGGTATGGTCTGTCGTTGACCGTGCAACATGAAGCAATGTTTTGTGTCTCAGTGCTGTGAATTTGTTTTTTTTTTGTTTCGTGAATGGTTTGGGGAAGAAGGTTTTGTGGTGTCTACAGACCTTTTCTGTCTGAAAAGCTTTTTTTCTTTTTTGTCTCATGCAATGCATTCACTTCAAAAAAAATACCAATCTGAAGTGCTGATTTTTTTCACTTATAAAATAGTGATGATGCTGATGGCAGCAACTCCATAAGTTGAGATGGTACATAAGAGCAACTGACTCCCCCACACATGTGGATGAGGAAACTTTTTAATATCTTCTGTTTCAGTTGTGTAGCCTTTGTGGGAGAGAGATCAGCAAAACAGCTTTCCCTTTCTTGGGAAGGAGTTTTTCAGGGAATGTTTGGTAAGCAAGTTGAAAAGCAAGTGGATGATATGTTTGGCATCAGTTGGTGGTCATCTGGCAGATGATTAGTTGGTGCTAGATCTGACTCCAAAGTTAGGGCAATATATCATTTTTTTTTGTGAATGAGAAATAAAAATGGAGAGCAGTTGCGAGCAATAGATAAAGTATTAGTAAGACTGCATTGGCAAAATGTCTTAAGTGTCTGGGGGAGCCTTCTGTTGCAAGAGGCAGCTGAGCAATAATGTGCTTTCAGAATAATCCTTTTCAGAAGAAACGGGGTTAAAGATGTGAGAAATACTCTGGGAACAAAAGGGGAGTGCAAGATATTCTTTCCCCCACCTTCCTAATATGTCAGTGTTGACAGTGCTGTTTCTTCTGTCATGTTGCCTAACAAATCCAGCTCTCTAATAGCAATCCAGATTGTATCAGTAGATTACCACTGCTTTCTTTACAATCCTTGAAAGCTATGGGCTAATTGCTTATCCTGTCTAGTTTCTGTCTTTTTTTAATTGATCTAAATAAGCAGTCAGTGTCAGAAAAGCTGGTAGAAAAAATAGTAGTATTCTCTTTTCTCTTATTTTGGCACTATTTCTAGTGCTAATATGTATACAGAAAAGAGAAGTTCACTACAGACAACTGTATCTAATACGAAGTTTTGTATCTTCTCCCTGAGCTCACCCTATGTCCATATCCCTTTCTCTAATGAGACCAGTGACTTCTGTAATTGGTCTTCTTCCTTAATCATTCCCTACTCAGTAATGTCTCCCTTTTCTTCCCCCCCCCCAGATCAGCATATTTCTGATTACAGAAAAAGAGTGAAACTTGTCAAACTAAGGACATTTCTGACTTGGATATGTTGTCTTTTTCTGGTGATGCTCCCCTACTTCTTGCCTTCAAAACTGAAAATCGGCGTTTTTAACTCCTGGTTATCCTTTTTCCTGAGAACAAATGCAGTAGAACATACAATTAAGTGGTTGTGTAGGCTTTTACAGCACTAACTTTTATCACACGATTTTATTTTGGACTGTCTGTCTTCTCAGATTGACATCTTGAAAATTTTAGAGCTGATATTTAATCAGCTTATTTGGATTGTGGGTTTTTTTTATTATTTTTAGGTTTGTTGTTGATTTGCTTTTTTAAGATCGTGTTACTGATGGCCTCTTATCTGTGCAGGCTAGAAGAATGGGTAAATGTTTGATATTTGGGTAAATGGTAATGATATTTGTATTATTAACTTATACCTCCTAGAAATCAACTAAACTCTAGAAAGGTATCCTTAGATCAGAGAGAGTCGTGGTCAGATGGCTTGGTCTGCAGATACAGAACACCATTTCTTCTAATTAGCTTTTTGCTTATTTTTTGTGTTGAAGATCTGCATTACTGCAGTCTGTATTTCCCCCCTTTGCACCCCACCCCCAGTCTTCCAGTACAACTATATACATAGTTGCTTTCAGTCTCCTGTCAAGATAATTTGGGTTTAAGTTGACCAGAACAGGTCAGATGATGACTATCCACAGTTTTGCAAGCAGGTTTCAGAGGGCAGTAGCCCTCTGGGAGGAGGAACTGGAGATGTTAAGAGTCACAGGGGTCTGTAACGCCTTAAAATTGACTCAGCTACAATTGGAAACTTTCCTGACTGTCAGCTCTACATCCACCTGGGGAAGCTAGTAGAGACCAAGTATTGCACTTCCAGCTTCCAGTCTCTGTGTAATTTCTGCCTTACCTGTATGGATCAGCAATTAGATGTTAGAGATGCCTTTTTCGTGGCTTTGTTTTGAACACACTATTTGTGTGCTTAATCTAGAAAGTAGGTTTTCTAGGTCAACGAATTATTCTAAGAATAAGCATTAGGTTTAATTATTATCTACTTAGTCCTGTACTATGCAGGGACTGAAGTGTGTGTAGCAACCTCTTATCTCTTGTGGTATCTGTGCTGGTGTTCTTTCACATTATAGAAGATTTTCTCTTCAAATTGGAAGTAGACAGATTTGGTAGCTACTATTTACATTAGACAACACCTCTTAAATCTGTTTGGCTCTGTGCTGAGTCTTTTATGCTAAGATCTAGACCTATGCACTGATTTGAGCTCCTAACTTCCCTCAGACTTCAATACCAACCTTGTGCATAAATGATCTGCTAATGTTAAAAGTAGTTCTCCCACAAGAGGGGAAAAAGTCATTTGAAATATTTTCATCGCTGACTTTCACTGTTCAGCTAGAGCTGGATCAGTTCTATTACGGGGGAAAAAACCTATAAAGAAAAAAAACTAATATTTTAAACAGATTGTAAGGATTGTTTTATTTTTTTTTTCCTCTGCTAGATCCTGAAGCCTGTTTTTATTTGCAGGCTTTTAGCCTTAAGACTAAGTCATCTTTGTTCTTTCCAGAACTGTATACATTGCTTCCTCACTAATCCTTTCTTGTGTATTACAGAAGGAAGTTTTGCTGCTCACCTAAAAGGAATGTGTAGTTGGCATGTCTATAGGGTATCTGTGTTCTATTCCTTGAGCTGTTGTGAGATGCCATTGCTGGAGTCCAAATTAGCATAAGGAGTTCTTGCCTCTTTTGGACATAACAGCTATTAGAGTCAGTAATTAAAAAAAAATTTCCTCACTGCTTTGTTTCTTAAAGGAAAGATTTATTTTCTTTTCCCCTTTCCACTTCTTTCTTTCTATACCAAAATAGCTAGGTGGAACAGCTAAAATACTGGTATTTCTTTTCCTTCATCCACTCAAGGTCTTGTTTTCTAAAGCTTGGATGGAATGCCTAGTTTGGCAGTTGTGATTCAGCTTTGCTTGTCATTTGCCATTGTCTAATGGATAGGATAGAATTATAAGCTTCCTACTTGTTAGGTGATATCCTTTTGAACTGTTGTCTTATGTTGGAGACAAAACGACTGCTGCCAGCTGTAACACTGCCTGAGCAGTAAATGAAACTACTGTATATGTCTAATGCTGTGAGGATTTGTAATCTGTACTTTTCTCCAGTAAAACTGTAAACTGTGAGTGTTTGAGTGTGCAGCTTTTTACTGGCTGCATGAAATTCTAGTTTACCCTAAGGGAATTTCTTTTCCTGAAAAAATCCTTAGAATGAGCAGTGTAGGGATAAAGAAAAAAGTCTTTGGACTTGTAAAAGGTACAATTTCAGGCTTCAAAACAAAAATGCATCTATTTACTATTAAACCCTTCTCAAGACTTTTCACAATGGTGACATGGGAAATCCAGTGTGAGGACCCAAGCATCATCCAGACAGATAAAGGAAGTCTGCCAGTTACCACTGTAGTTTGTTTGTTTAACATGTTTGCCTGTGAGGAAGGTAATGGATTTATGAGTTCATGTCTTCCAGCAGACTCCTGTCTTGGGAACTGGGGGCAAGATTGATTTGCACTCTTGCCAGAAGGGTCTTTGTCCCACAAATACAAGTTTTGTCAAATGCCTAGTGCAGCTTCATTGTGTACTATTTATAGCTCTCTTCTTTGTGCTCTGCAGTAGTGATTCCATGTTCACTGATGTAATTCTTACTTGTTAAAAAAGTATAGAATTATCACAGAGTCACAGAATATGCTGAGTTGGAAGGGACCCAGAAGAATCATTGAATCCAACCCTTAGCCCTGTACAGGACCATCCCCAAGAGTCACACCATGTGCCTGAGAGTATCATCCACACTCTTCTTGAACTTTGGCAGGTTTGGTGCTGTGACCACTTCCCTGGGAAGCCTGTTCCAGTGCCCAACCACCCTCTGGGTGAAGAACCTCTTTCTGATATCCATCCTAAACCTCCCCTGACACAACTTCAGGCCATTCCCTCAGGTCCTGTCACTGGTTACCACAGAGAACAGATCAGTGCCTGCCCCTCGTCTTCCCCTCACGAGAAAGTTGTAACTGCAATGAGGTCTCCTCTCAATCTCCCCTTCTCCAGGCTGAATAGATCAAGTGACCTCAGATGCTCCTCATATGGCTTCCCCTCTAGGTCTTTGATCATGTGCATGGCACTCTTTTGGACACTCTCCAATAGCTTTATATGCTTATTATATTGTGATGCCCCAAACTGCACACAATATTCAAGGTGAGGCCAGTGCAGAGCAGAATGGGACAATCACCTCCCTTGATCAAGCAAGGATCTTTTTGAGACATTGATCACTTCCGAAGGGTTTTGTTCTTTTAAAGAGGAAAAGTGGATGCAAAGACAACATGAACTGCATGAAGATCTTGTCCAAAGCCCAAATATAAATATACAAACTAGTCTTTTAAACTGATATATTCCAAGTAATTATGGTCTGTTGAATTGATGTGGTTATGGAGTAGTGGAGATGATTATTCAGAAAAGGGTTTAGACACAGCTGTAGGATACTTTACATAAATAAAGGTATTTTAAGCACTTTATATATACCACAGAGTTATTTTAAGGCAATAAAAAAAAAATCATACCTCCAGCAGAAAATGTTTACTTTTGTACCAACTAGACTGCCTGTGGCAGACCAGATGAAGTCACTGCCCAAAGCAGTTATAAAGAGAATCCAGTGGAAAGCCTTGTAGCCCTGTCATGATAATAGTGAAGGAATAAAAATCCTTACCATAAAAGTTCCTGTAGTATGAAAAAAGCTTTGAATTTTTCTCTGGATGAGGAGAAGTGGTGCTGTGGAGAATAGTTCAATGATCTCATTTCATTGAAATTAAGAATGCGGTTATTTCTTAGTTTCAGTATTGAATACTGTGAAAAAGTACTACTATTACTATTTTAAGGTTAGAAACTTCTTTGTCACAGTTAAACAATACATATTTTGCTAAACAGCATGACTGATTAGAACCCGGGAAGCTAAAGTAAGACTGTCTTTAATAGCAACCTCAAGTGACTTCAAGTACGGTCTGCTGCCGGGTACCTCAAGTGACTTCAAGTATGGTCTGCTGCCGGGTACTTCCAGTGACTTCAAGTACGGACTGCTGCCGGGTACTTCTGGTGACTTCAAGTATGGACTGCTGCCAGAATCTTGGCCAAAAGAAGCTTGGGAAAATGGTAAGTATATCTGATGGAGAGAAGTTTCTTTTTTGCCTCTCATAGGGGTTCTTTGTCTTGTGTGTCACTGCTTGTAATATTTGATTAATTTGTTTGAAGGTTTATAAGATTATGTAAACACTTAATCTTCTTCCATATCATTTGCCTTTCTGGATAATGTAAATATGAGGATTTCCTCGGAGAGAGAAAAAGGAATTCAAATGTATGGAAGAGTAAGAAGAGAAAGTGATTTATGTCAGCTCTTTTATTGTGTCTGAATGTGAAGATACCTGAGGTCTTTAATGACCTGATAGCTTCCTCCCCTTTTCTAAGATAATTACAGATATATGGCATTTGAAATTGAACACTTGGATGATGGAGATAAGAAATTAAATATAATTTTAAAAGGAGATCTTGGCATATGTCTCGCTATCAAAATAAAAACTTCATTGCAATAAAGATTTTGAGTTCTGTGCAGCTGTAATTAAGCCTTCTTCTGTCAGTTCAAGCAAGCAATTATCTGTAATTATTTTTCTGTCTGAAAACCTCCCAAAAACACCACTGCATCTAAAACAATTGTTGCTAGATCCTTAAAATATATGAAGTCTTGGATAAAAGGAGGATCTTAAGGCTTGGGTAATAATAATGCTTACCTCTTCTCTGTAACTTTGAGCTATTACTGGGATGTGGTTTATGGTTTACTTTAAATTATTTGGGTTTTTACAGTGGAAGAAATTGGGTCATCAGAAGGTGAAATTTGCTAGCAGTCATGGGACTAGAACCTGGTCTTGGAGTCTTAAGCCCCATATATCTTACAGCCCTGATGTCTGCCTGTTATACCCCTGTTGATGTGCATAGGACTTACTTTTCTTCATATAAGCTATTATGTGACATTATATTGGCATGCAGCTTGCCTGAGTGCTCCAATATACCAAAGCAAACTTCTGAATGTTAGCAAAACTTAACTTCCATATTATGATGGATTTTGAAGCTCTGAGGAGGCAACTCTAGATGAGTTGGGGCCCATGCCTGTGGCCATGCCTGTGGCCCATGCACGTAACATGCAATTACTTGTGTTTTCTTTCTCCCAGCCTGAAAATGAGAAATTCTTGTTCATAATCATGTAGCCTGAGTCAGTGCTTTTTGGGTGCTTCTAGATGGTTATGATTATGTTCATAAATTATCTCACCTGTAGTATGTTTTGAGCCAATATCATATGCTCAAAATCATCCTTATATTCCTATGTGACCTTCTCCACATCATAGCATCCTGTGTTCTTCTCTTTCACACAGTAATAGGCAGCTGTAGCAAACCTGTTTTGCACATATCCTTTGAGCAAACTGTGTTACCTGTGGTGCAAGGATATGTAAAGAGCTCCCCTCCATCATAAGGAAGAAGTGAGATATTGCTACTTGCGGAAGTTTCTTTTCTGCTCTCAATTTTTTTCCTACTGTTAGACCAAAGTAGAAAATAGATAAGATCTGAACCAATAACTTTCCTTTTCAGCTATTTCAGAATTATGCTACCTCTTATTGTCCTACTCCTTTTGTCAATATTCATTCTTGCTTAGTTACACCTTTTTTTATTGATTTGTCAAGTCAGATCTTGGCAGACAGTTACTGCACGTAATTCTAAATAGAATATTGGGAGAGAAGATTGTAACTGTCTAAATGCTGCAAAGTTAGAGGGTTTCTAATCCAGAAGAAAATGTTTTCTGATATAGATGACCTCTAGAAAAGTGGAATACCGCTAAGTTGTAGTTAATTTATTAATGAAATAAGATGATTTTTCAGAGAATTGATTAGTACTTCTGTAGTAAAAATACTTTGGTTACAAGTAGGTGTTTTTCTAGCAGGATCATACAGGCAGAACTTACCATCATTTGTGATTTCTGCAGACAGGCATTGTCCTGATTTGGCTGATGAAAAGTCATGTGGGTGCTTTATTGTTTTGGCACCTGTTTATTTTTTGTGCAACAGGCAGAACATACTGAAATATTTTTTTGTGTGTGTTTCATTATCTTTTCTCCTGATGGCTTATTATCTTGTAGGCGATTCCTCTGCTTTAATCATGAACAAGTTGAAGTGTCCACACTGTAATTATGTAGCCAAATACAGAAGAACACTAAAGAGACACTTGCTCATTCACACAGGCGTGAGATCTTTCAGTTGTGACATCTGTGGGAAACTGTTTACACGAAGAGAGCATGTAAAGAGACATTCCTTGGTAGGTAATTGCAAGTGTATGTGTGTCGAGTGGGTTTTTGGGGTTTTTTGCATGTTTTGGTAGTTGGAAGAAACGCTCTTCTCTGATTTGTCATAATGTAAATTGTTTTATCGTAATCTAAAATGAATGAAGATAAACATCTCTTTGTGATAACTATACATCTTGTGCTCTTAATGGAAAATGCAGTGTCAATTAAGAGAGTCACTGGAATTCTAGTAACTTCAAGATTATTTTGAAAGTGACATGATATAAATGCAGTATATGTAAGTATTCTGTAGATAACAAAAGGCAGTTTTGGTTTAGTGTTACTCAGTAGAATAGCACATCTTGTTCTATAATGCTGCATCACCATCTTCTGTGACGGCACCCTGTTAATTCAGTAACTGCACAATATCTTGAAGTGGTTCTGAAATGTTTATTTCCCAACTAGACAATGCTATAGTGTAGTATCTACTTTAAGATTTAGCAAAGAACAAAAAATATCTGATGCAGAAAGTAAACATCTGTCTGACAGACTACCAATGCCATAATCAGCAGTTCAGCTTGCCCTGTCCTGTGCATGTTGCATAACTCAGGATTTGACTTGAGTACTTGTTTATTTGAGGAGCCAGAGAAAGTGTTATCTGTCTTGGGTATTTTGCAGGTACTTTGTATCTAGTCTGTAAGAAATTGCCTTCATTATGATATTTACTGTACAAAATCCAAGGGGTATTTTAGGGGAGTAATAAGAACAAGATTGTATTGGTGGTGAAAAAGTAATAACATTTCTCCAAGCTGTGATTTTTTTTTTTTTTTAAAAAAATCTCATTTTGCAACATGCTTTGTAGATAGACAAAAGAGGTTAGTACATGGAGTGGGGTAAAGTGTATTTCTCCAGAATGCTGTACCTGAGTTGGGGCAACACCCCATATCAGTAGAGGCTGGGGGATGAACAGATTGAGAGCAGCCCTGCTGACAGGGACTTAGGGGTGCTGGTGGATGAGAGGTTGGACATGAGTTGGCAATGTGAACTTGCAGCACAGAAAACCAAGTGTATCCTGGGCTATATCAAAAGCAGCGTGGCCAACAGGTCAAAGGAGGTGATTCTGCCCCTCCACTCTGCTCTTTGGAGACCCCACCTGGAGTGCTGCATCCAGCTCTTGGGTCCCCAGCACAGGAAAGACATCAACCTGTTGGATTGGGTCCAGAAGAGGGTCATGAAAATGATTGGAAGGATGGAGCACCTCTCCTTGGAGGAAGGGTCCTTGGGTTTTTTCAGCCTGGAGAAGAGAAGGCTTTGGGGAGACCTAATTGCAGCCTTCCAGTACTTGAAAGGAACCTAAAAGAAAAACAGAGAGAGGCTTTTTGCAAGGGCATGTAGTGATGGAACAAGGAGGAATGTATTCAAACTGAAGGGGGATAGGTTTAGATTAGATGTTAGGAAGAAATTCTTTACTGTGAGGATGGCGAGGCACTGGAACAGGTTGGCCAGAGAAGTTGTGGATGCCCCATCCCTGGCAGTGTTCAAGGTCAGGTTAGATGGGGCTTTGAGCAACCTGGTCTAGTGGAAGGTGTCCCTGCCTATGGCAGGGCATTGAAACTGGATGATCTTTAAGGTCCCTTCCAACCCAAATCATTCTATGGTTCTGTGACTTCGGTAACTTTCCTCAGTCCTTTTAGAATCAATGGACCGTTTTGCTCTCCTCGCAAAGGTGTTCTGTAAGTCTCCATAGCCTCCCTGTAGTTGGCTTTTTGTTCCTCGGTGAGTAGAAAAAGTGGAAAGCTTCTATGCTTTCATGTGGATGCAGAAAAGAGCTTTTGATCTAAGTCTTCCAAACTTTCCTTTCTAGCTTCTGTTATAATGAAATTGAGTTTGTTAGCCAGTAATGTTATTTAAAGTAAGTAATAACGTGAGTCATATCAGGATATAATTCTAGAAGATGTTTATAAGACCCCTGTAGTAATTTTTTAGTGTTTCTTGAACTGCTCTACAGGTAGTGAAGGCATATGTTAATAGCTCCTGTGTAAATTTTAGAACCAGCATCTTATGTTCTGCTGGACTTTGCTAATCTTAGATACACTTCTTTCCACCCTGCCACTGCTGCCTTTCTTCGCCTCCCGCACCATCTAGTGAAGGCTTAGATGCCTAAAGGGCCAGGAGTACCTGTGATGTTACTGAGTCTGGAGATGTTTGTGTATTTGTTGGATCAAAACACATTAATCATCATACGTTCACACACACTTACAAACAGTGCCTGTAAGTGACTGCAGTGAGGGAGGTGGTGATGGTGCAGGGCAGCTCCATGGGGTGGCAGAGGAGTCTGAGGCGTTATCACCTCCTTGATTGCCATATGCAGCAGCTGCTCCTTCCTTTGCAGCTCACTGGAGAAGACAGCAACACTGGGAGATGGTCAGTTTACCAGGAAGAGCAGAGTGGGACTTAAGGTTTCTGTCCTGCAGTATCTGACCAGATTTTTTTTTCCCTTCAGGAAAGGAGTTGAAGTCAGACCGTGAAAATAGCTATAGAATGAGCTCAGCCTAGTTCTGTGCTTTAACTGAAGTGTCCTTTCCCCATTGAAGACTGAATACTTTTTCTTTGTTTGTTTTTTTCCCCCCTCCTTTCCCCTTTCCATTCAACAAATCTCAAACATTCTGCTTTATGTAAGTCTAGAGGCTGAGGAAAACACATGTATCAGCTCTACAGATTATATAGCAGGACTGAAGTAACTATTTGTATCTTGACCTGATTTTTTTCCCCTCATCTGGATGGTAATTTCTGTTTTATCTAAAATGGCAATTTTTCAGTGGGACTTCAAATGAGATATTTAAGGAGCAGATACAAGAAGGAACTCTTCAACTTAAATTTTTAGTAGATAGTAACTAATATACATGGCTGCTGAATTCAGTTACATGTACAAGTAACATACTTCCAAACTGAAAATTAAAATTTAGTCAAATTAGTCAACAACAGCCTTTTAACTTTACACACAGGCTCACATACAGACAAAAAACTCACTAAAGGGACCTGGAAAGTTGGTATTTGTTTTGGTTGCATTGGGATAAAGATGTCGTGGAAGAAGGATTTTGCTCTTTGAATTCACACAGAATTTAATAACTCTTGCTCATTCTAAATTTTTCTAGAACTTAAAATTGTAAAGGCAGTTTTCTAAATGAGATATTATCGTGTGTGCAGTGTAAGCGCTGTTCTCATTGCCTTTGAGTCTTGCTCTGTAGGGTGAGTAGTTGTGGACTGAACACTCACCTGTATACAGAACAGGCAGGTGTTCAGTTTGGTTGTGGGAAATAGCTCATGCATGTTGAGGAATACATAAACAGATCTCTAGTAGTCCTTCTCTTACTCTGAACAGTGTGAGTATCTCTTGGAAATGTTCAAAAAGAATTTTTGTATTAGTAATTACTCTTCTTGTTATCAGTAGTTTTCTACTACTGTATGCAAATGTAACTTGCTATGTGTATTTTCACCTGTTAAAATTTCTCTTCCACAGGTGCATAAAAAGGATAAAAAGTATAAGTGTATGGTGTGTAAGAAGATTTTCATGCTAGCAGCCAGTGTTGGAATAAGACATGGATCACGACGTTATGGAGTTTGTGTAGACTGTGCAGATAAATCTCAACCTGGAGGGCAAGAAGGAGCAGACCAGGTGCAGGACACAGATTTCCCTAGGGATGAAGAATATGAGGAAAATGAAGTGGGAGAAGGTGATGAGGAGCTTGGTGATGATGTAGAAGAACAGAATGACCAGTCCCGATGGGATGAAGCTGGGGAAGTTTGTATGCCTTTAGATGACTGACAGAGCATATGACTTCAGGGTGCTGCAAATGGACACTGTATGGATTGACTATTTGACTATATGAATTTTGGGACTGAAGGCTTGCGAAATATGGTACAGGCTGGATGGTAGTTACATTGCTGTGAAAAATGTAGGGTCAAAGCCTTATAGCAAAAAAAGGATTATTAATTTTTTTATGATATTTGCACAGGACTGTACAGCATACAACCATTTGGTTGAATTATACAGAGTCCTCACATCTACAGTCAGTTATCAAAAGAAAAATGTATTTTTTATTATTTATAGGCTATAGCTACTTGGGTCCTATTCAGACATAGTAGTAACTGTAATTATGTTACACATTCATGTATCTGTTAACATGAATGAAGAAAATTACAACTTTGTATGGAAATACAAAGACAGCTTTCCCAAATCCACTTCTACTATGGTCAGTGAGTCAGCGAAGGTAATTTGGGGTAGTGGCTCATTTTCCACAAGCATGTCTTTGCCATACAAATTTTATCCCTTCCATAACCTGAGAGGTGAAAGCCAATCATTTAAATATGCGTCACAGATATTGCCAAAACTATACTGAAATTTGGTTTGAAAACTTTTGGCTCTGTGCTGGCAGGTGGTATGGGTGATAAGCACTGGAGAAGTTGTTAATGGCATTAATTTAGCATCTGTTTTTAAAGAAGGTTGTTGATTCACCAGTTTCAAAATGATAATGCAGAAGAAATGACCAATAATGAAAATAATAGACTGGTCAGAGGATGGGTAATTCTTGTGCCACTTGTAGTCAAAAGAAACAGTCATGCTAAAAGGTATCTGATGTAATAATGTTTCTTCCCACTAAGGTGCCCCTTCTCAAACTTTTTGATTCCCCTGGTGTATACCTCAGTCCCACAAAATAAAAATACAAGGAATGGAGAAAGTGTCATATTAAACAACTCTTTGGTCAATAATTTCTCACTTGTCCGCTTTTTGGCTAGTTTGTGATGTGAATTGAACACTAGGCTATTTTACCCATCGTTCATCATTAAAATGAACACAAACTATTTTTTATTCTTTTGTACTTAATGGGTTGTTGCTAGTATTTAATATAAACCAATTACATTTAATTTGCTCATTTGCTGGAATTATTTCTTTTAAGAAAAGCAAAAAGTCCAAAGCAAAATAATACTCTTTGAGTTGTCCACTTTTCAGGAGGATATGCTCCCTATGCTCTTTGCTTCAGATTTTCTAGGAGGCATTGAAACTTGAATTTTTGTAGCCATGTAGACTTTTTTTCCCCTAAGCTTGTAATATTGTACCAATGATTTCAGGCCCCTTTTATAGGGAGGGGAGGGCATTACACCTTCACCTTAAACTCCTCTGTGTTGTCTAGCCTAAGGCAAACAAATTCAGGCAATCATTGGAACAATACATCTGGTGTACTATTATGTCACAATGAGTAAATATGCAGAGCATTTATCATGACACATAGCTAGGCCAGTGTGACAGTACTGTATAAAAACCAATTGAGGGTCACCATATTTTTCAACTTTGTTTATTTTAAAATGAGTATATTTTTTTCCTATTTTATATCAGGTAACTAAATTATGGTAGTTGTGTGGATAACTTTGAATTATGCTTTGACAGACAAAATCTTACTGGTGCTCCATCTGATCAAAGTCGGTATGTATTTAAAGAGACAAGCTTTACTGTTGTCCATAGAACAGTAACATAATGTTAAGACATTGTTTTTGCTGATTGAAGCTAAGTTTGAACTACAGTTATATGGGAATTAAAATGCTTTTTTTTATCATCCACTTGTTTCATTGGTAGCTTCCACATCATTGTAAACCTGACGTGATTAGTTTTTTTGGGGAGGGTGGGAAGGGTGGGGTGCCTTTTTTACACTGAAGAATACATTTTATTCTCATTGTTCTAGACTGAAATGAGTAATGTGTAATCCTGGTGGGGTCCAAAGTAGAAATTAGTTGGGCAAAAATGATATGAATTAAAAAGTATTTTAAACGTTAAAGTAATGTTCTGCTTTGTGAATATGTAAGTATAGCATAAAGATTTTTCCATCCCGTTTATCCCTTTTAAAACCATAGTTTACAATTGGTAGATCTGTCTATATATAAGTATATATATATATCTGAAATTCACCTAAATCTGCTTTATTAGGATACTGCTCACTTAATACTTAGAAACTGGACCTGGCTCTACATTCTTAATGTATTTTCCTTTTTTTTTTTTTTGTTTTGTTTTGTTTTTGTTTTGTTGAGTTTTTTCCTCAAGTATGAACTTATTCTCTTGGAATTGAATCTTCTTTTACTACTTAAATCATTTATGTATATCTGGTAAATTATGACCAAATTTGTTGTTAGACTGCATACAGTAAATTGAAATATACACTTGGTACACTACAGAATTGTTGTGCTTTTGTTCCGATTATATTTGAAAAAACAGGCTTTAATAGACATTTGGTATTTATAAATATTCAGTTATTATTCACTGGCCTTAATATTCTGTTGCATTGTGACAATCATGTCCTTGGTAACACTTAACTGCTTGCTTTTAAAAGTTGCATGTAATTGCCCATGGTAGGATTGGAGGGAGAGGGATGACTGTCTTTAGCGAATGATGTGAAATACTTTAATGGAGATCCACTGTTCTTGTGTTGTAGAACTGAAAGAATTTCCATTTCCAATGGATTTTTTGAATTTTTTATTCAGAAGTCATTTAAAATACATTAATTTGATTGGGTAGTTCTAAATAATATAAATGTAAATTTCTGAAGAATTAACTTTTGAGGGACAGCTCAAGTTTCTTTACTATTATAAGAAGTAGAAAGATTTCTGTTTGTGCTAGAAATTGTTTCCCTCAAGAAATGCTGGAGTTATGCTGTAGTAACACCGCAGTGGATTTTAATTTGTTTTGAAATTTGTTTTCCTTTTTAAAAGAAGAAAGACTAATGCCCTTAAACTGTCTTCATTATCAAATGAAAAGATACCCAGTCTTTCATTTTGTCTTCTGAAATCCTTCTCAAATCACGTTTGAGACTTGCTTATTTGGGGCAATGCCACACGAGTAGTTTTATGAAAAGAATCATGTATGTTTTTAAACAAACACAAAGTTCTGATGTTGGGACTCCCCCTTCTTCTATGGGTTTTTGTTTGCTTTCTGATCTCTTCAAGTAATGGTGGGTATCTTTTAGAAAGAAACATACAGAGCACTTTGTGGCAAGGCACTGTGATGCAGGACAAAATCAAATCATTAAGTAAATTCACTTAAGATTCAGAAGTACAACTCTTGGTCAAAGTAGGTGTGATGTAAGGAAGACACACAATGTAAGATGTGTTTCTCCTATGCCAATGTTACTACAGTATGTTAACATTTTTTAATTGTAATGACAAATGCATTTTGCAGGAAAAGTGGCACTTTTTCCAATTACTTAGAAACTTTTTGTAGTTCTGTTTGCAAACAAATCCTCTAGTAAAATAACTTTCTGAAGTGAAACCAGTTTTGAAAACCAGAAGTGGTATTTAGTTGTTAACATGCATCCTAAGTTGTAATTACTGGTTCCCATAGTGTACACTTAGTTTTTGTGATGTGTGTCGTTCTGCAAATGCAGTTTTCAGGTATCACTACATTGTCCCTCTTCCTTCTGACAAGAATAAGCATTATCAAGTGAGTAAAAGCTTGGGGCCAGGACACTGGCATGAGTTATGCTCCTAGTTGTGGGTCACAGCAGTAATGCTGTTAGCAGAAGATGCTTTCCTTGCGTAGCTTTAAGTTGGTAAGGCTTTTAATAGGATTTGCTTTAATTAGGCCAATCTCAGTTGTTTGCTTGCTTTTAAGGTTTGTTTCACTTGATTTTTCTTGTTCTTGCCACTCAGTAATGCAAGTCTCCCACCTGTTCTGAAATATTTATGTAGTCTGCTGACTCCACACAGATCCAGAATTCACTTTGCAAGTGCTGTACCTTGTTTGTTGTTTCTTTTTTACTTTGTTGTATTTAAATGGCTTTGGAAACTAATAACAGAAACGAAAGCAAGACAAATGACACCACCAGCAACCCAAAAAACTTGTGTCAAAAGAAAGTGAAAAAGAAGAAAAATGTGGAGTGCAATGTGATGAGAAAAAGGCTTTTGGATTTGAGTTGTTACAATTCTTCTGGTTTGTTACTTGAATATTTTGGACAATTCGCTGTGCTTTTCTCTAGCACTATTTGGTGGCAACGTTCTGATGAAGAAGCTATGCAAGAAGCCCAGTTGTGAATTTGTTCAGTGCCTCCAGAGTGTGGTGCAGGTTCTGCAGAGGTAGTACCACTGAGTAGCTTTCTGTAGATATTTTACCACAGACCCTTCTGTTAGCATCCCTGTTCACTATGTGATCTGTTACCTAATTTTTATTCGATAAATATTTGCTCCTTTGCCTTTTATGCATTTTAATAGCACATTACTGTGTATTACTGAACAGAATGGTAAAGTTTAAATATTGACACAGTGGATAAAAAGGAAATAAGTTGGTTTTCCTATAGAATCCTTTAACAAACCTGTAATAAAATAATTCCTCTGTAATAAAGAAAATACAGGTTTGGAATCGAGAGGCATGGGTGTTGCTGAGCAGAACACTTTGAGATGATGAAGATTCCATACATAATTCACCACGAGTTTTTGGAAATACTTTTATGTGGGGAAAAAAATGCAAAACTACACTAGGAAGAATTTATGACTTAAACTTGAAAATAAAATTGGCTTATCAAGTACTTTGTATTTGACATTATTGCAGTTTGAAGTGAATGTTTAAAATAAGCTATACATGATGTTTCTTACCTGGATCAATTTGGATTAGCTACTTCAGAAGACAGATAAAAGTGACTTTTCACTGACATTTTGGTATATAAACATAATTTCAAGACTTCTAATACTCTGCGCCATTCTTTAAGTAAATAAATTTAAGAAATAACAGTTTTATCCATTCTTCTGTGCCCTGCCTGCTCACTCTCCACAAGATGATGCAGATTTCTTTGGATGGCTTAAGTCTCAACATTCAATCGTTTACTCCAAAAAACTTCTGCTTCTGACATAGAATAGAAGGTATAGAAAACAGAATTTATTTTAAGGTTTTATTTTAAACTTCTCTCATAATAAGGCATATCACTTTAAGATGACCCATTTCCAAAAGCCAGAATTCAGATAAGGTGTTTATACCTAAAACTGGATTTTAGCCAAACTGCAGTGCATAGCTGAGCAGGTCACTGAAGGGGCACTTTAACCACAGTCTAGTGTGTGCCAGAAGTTTTGGATCCCCTCAGAAATGCGGTAGTACTGTGTGTGCCCAAAGCCTTTCCATTGGTGTTTTGTTTCCTCTCTCTGTTTCCACCAACCTGAGAAGTTGGAACAAGTCCTTTCAACCTGAGTTTCTCAAAAGCTTCTTGACTGAATAATGCTGGATATGTGTTTGAATTGACCCTTTGGCTTCTGTTATCTTCCTAAATGTGGGTTCTTTTTGGTAGATTATACACAAGTGGATTTCTTCAGCTAGAAAGTAATCAGCCCTTTGTTGGTTCTTTCAAGGATTTGAAAACTTCAGAATTTTCTTTTTGCCCTGCAGAGAAAACTTCAGGTTTGATATCCTGGATAGGCAAGTCTGCCCGTGTATCTTGCCTTGGATGCCCTGGTTTAGTGAAGACCAAAGGCCTCTGTCCCATCAGCTTTTCCTATTATGTGCCCCTTGTACAGCATGTAATGGATTTGTCTTGTGGGGGACTATAGCTCTGGTTTGGGAAGAGCCCAGAAAATAACTTCTAGGCCATTGAACAAACTACATTACTTTAAAAACTATCTGAGTGATGGTACACAGAGAATTGTTTCGAGACTTGAATATGTTTTTACCTTGTTAATTAAGTGTGATATAGTAATGTGATGTTCTCTTGTTAAATGTACGTAAACTATTGTGTTTTGTCTACATATTTTAGGAAAAGAGCTTCACATTCCACAGAACAGTGTGAACTTTGTAGCTAGAAAGGCGCAACAGGAGAAGAAATATGTTTGTTAAAATTCAGCAAATTCAGTCTAATTAGATAAGAATTAACATTGGGACAGCAAGCAGCTGCAGAAGAAACTGTAAAGTTTGTAGGAGGGTTGTGAAGAAAGTCATCGATGCAGGAAAGGGTCTCGAGAAGCTTTCTTAATGGGCCTGAAGTGTAGCTGTATTCATCAAGGACCAAGTCAAAAATGCTTATCTTTGCAGCATGGTTGAGTTGGTGATGCTGTAAAACCCTTAACTCTTGAAATGCTGACCTTTAAAGGATAGACCTAACATCAAATTTTGAAATAGTCATCCTCTTTCTAGCCCTTTAATTTGGAAATGCCTCCAGGATTGACTGGTGAGATATCAAATTTATGCTGAGAAATAGCCCAAATTATTTTCAGATCAAATTAAGAGGGGTTTTTTGTATAAGTGATAATACCACTTCATTAATTTCTGAAATTCCTACAGTAGAGGCATAGTACTAGTCCAGTTCCTTCAAAGAATTTACTGATACTGAATGCCAATACTTGTCAGATTGATAAAAACAATCCTTCCAAGCTAGAGGCATCTTAAGTTACTAGGAGTAGTATGCAGTTACCACTTCTTGTCAATCTGTGTGCTGCATTCTGCTCAGATACTGTCTGCATAGGTTACATCTTGTTCAAACTAGCCTTAAGTTACCCTTCCTGGATATAGATTGCAAAATGTTAGCAGTGAAGAAGTGTCACAAAATAAATCTTACCCAGGAATGCTTTTCTTGTTTTCTCCCTGCTGAAACACAGGAAATAAATTTCTAAAGCACTGAGACTTGATGCCAAGATGTTTATAAACTGCATGGGATATATTATATCACTCTGGCTAAGTTTGCAAAAATTACCACTGACATTTTTAATCATATTTTTTCAAAAGTATTGGTTTTGTTATCTCTCTAATCTTTATTGTCATACTTCTGACATAACTTGCAACTTTAGAGGATCTACTAGCTTTCTAGAAACAGTAAGATATGAATATATAATGTTCACAAAGAAGTTGTCAGTAACTTTCTGTTGAACATTATTATTCTGCCCTGGATTCCTCCTTGAATGGTGTTTTTTGTCCGGAAGGTATGGAAAGGGGCATGGTGACCACTGTCCACTCAAAGGGCTTAAAAAAACCTGTTAGTCTGTGAAAAAGGCGTAGGTGTTTTCATACTGGAAGCAGACTTTTCCCTTGGAGTTTCTTACACCTTGCTCCTTGCTCCTCCTCTTACACCTTACACCTTGCTCTGAAGCATTTCAGTTTTGAAACCTGTGCAGTAGTATGAAGAGGCCTCTAGTCAGTCTGAACTTGTAATGTTGCTGCTTGTACACCATTTAAATTAATAAAAATGTGATCTTATTGTAATGCTGCACAGGTCTTAACTGCAGTTGTCACTCTATGCCCTGCTTTAATAACAGCAGCTATTCAAGTGGTGTATCTGAGGCAGCCTTTGACAGGGCTTTTTGAAGCTGTTTTGTTGTCTGCTTGTGCCGTGGCCTGCTGGGTAATGTCAGGGAGGTTATTTTACCCTCTGTGTGTCATCTCCCCAGATAGATTGTTGTCTTTTTCCTGAGATACTTCATAAGGCTCGTCTGAAGCACTGAGGAAAAAATGCTACTCGAGAGCCAAAGTACTGGAGTAGCTGTGTAAATCTGTAGTCTTTAATGACAATTATTGGAAGTTCATCCTCTTTGATGTAGGTTTAGAAAAGAATCTAAAACTGAATGTGGTTTTAAGTTACCACATCAAATGATTTAACTTTAGAGTTTATTCATTGTGATGGATGATGACTCATTTCTTTATCGTCACAGGATAAAATCTCAACTCTTCCCTAAGAAACACTTCTACCTGTTTATCTTGCACCAGATACTCCTTTTTCTCTTTATGGACTGGAACGCATCAATTGAGTGCATAATTATCTTTTCTGCACTTCTGTTAGCTGGCTCTGAAGTGATTGTCTATCTAGATCCATGGATCTCCTTCCTTGCTGGAGATGTAAAAACTCCAGAAAGGAGTTTCTGTAGGAAGAATATTAGTGGAGTTAAAGAGATCTGGGTCAACTCAGTGTTAGCTGATAATGGCAAAAACCACTTGAATTTTCTCAATGCGATCATAAGAATTAAACGTAGCAAAAAGAATAATGAAATCATTTAACATAAGTATCTTTGTGGGTTTTTGTGATGCTGCCTTGCTTTTACTGATGTTAATGAAGATGATTGGCTTTCCCCATACCTCCTGCTGAAAGTAGAGCAGTTGAAATACATACCTGTACATACTGCATCATGGATATTGGCTAAACAATTCTGCCTGTAAATTGTCTGCAAATTCGATGCATCCTGAAGATTGATAGCATGCTAGAAAACGTGTTAGTAAGAAAATGAACAGTAACTTCTAATTTTGGATTTGGTGACACTGTTCTACAATGTTTTAGGTTAAGTATCTTAAAATGCAGTTAGGCATTTGTCACCAGTATTTGGAGCTATATGGCACTAACTGCAAATTACTGCGCCGGGTAACCTGTATTTCTATAAGTTGATACTGGGCTCTCAAAGAAACATGTTTAATAACAAGAAACCATCTGATTGCTGGATCTGATGTAGAGCCTGACAGCCGGTTCTCTTGTAAAGAATGGCAGGGAACAACTGAAAGGATCATAGGAGAGGGAATCCTCAGCTTTGACACAGCAGGGAGGAGGAACCCTGCTTTAGGAGTTTCTTTCACAGTAAAACTGCATGGAATTAGATTTATGTACTTTGGAAGGCGGAAGGACTGAGTCAGCCCTGTTGGAATGTGAACTTTTGTGCTAGGGCACTTAGATGATTCCAAGTCTGAGCTTACACTGCATCCCTTTTAACATGTATAAGAGCTTAGTACATTGGAGCATTAAGTCTGCTACCTGTTATTGCCGCACGAAGGTCAGATTTTGGTTTTAAAGAGACTTAAATTCCCAACTTAAAAGTTTAAGTAATTTTTTTTAATGTGCTTTCAAGTGATTCTCATTTGAGAATCCAGTATTTGACACCCTGTGTGTAGTCAGTGTTAAATGCAATTGATACATTAAAGATAAAATGCACAGTATCTTTTCACATGCAACAAGGGCTTTATTTTTCATGTTGCAGTTCTTAGATAAGCAAGCTGGAGCTCAGGTTGTCCCTTTGTTCCTTCCAAGACTATAGATTGGAATTTCCCTTTGAAATGCAGCTGCTCTCCACCTCTCAGCTGCTTTTCCTGTACGAAATCAAACATCAAAATCCTCATATCATGTTTAGCTTTATTTGTTAAGCACACAGTTTGAAACTTGGTATTTTTTATACTCTGCATAAATTCTTTAGAAAAAAAAAAGGACATGTTTTTCAGGTGCAGAAATAAAGGTTGTTCTTGAACATTTGATCTCTCTGTGTTCAGGATGGCCAAAGCAATATCTTATTAATGCACTTTATGTAATACCAACTTTGCCTAGAAGTAGTCTCTGGTGGTTCGATGCTGAGGGCTGTGCCTTCAGGCACAACTGTCATGAATAAAACATGGTACAGAAGGCAGTTGTACTAAAAGTGCAGCAGATCTTTTGGGCAAGTGAAGTGGGAGAAAAGGTATCGCTAAAGCTCAAGCTGCTGAGGCATAACCATTGCCAGCCAGCCTTGTGACATGGAAAGCTTTTCTGAAAGCTTGGTCAGGTCCTTCTGTTTGCCCTCTGCCAAGAAGCAATGCTCATCC